CATGTTATTTACCTGTTGTCGTTTACTCCTTTTTCTCCTGTGTTTAATTGCTTGCCCTATTTAGTTGGTTGCCTCTGATCTTATTCGTGGAGTTCCGATCATTTTGGTCCCTCTCTAGAACATCTTTCAGTAGCCTGTGTAGGGTTGGCTTTGTCAACATGAAATTCTTTAGCTGTTCTTTGTCAAGAAAGTATTTCGCTTCTCCATCAAAGTTGAAAGAGAGTTTTGCAGGGTATAGTAGTCTGAGTTGCAATTTGTTTTCATAGAGAACTTGTAGTACTCTGCTCCATGTTCTTCTTGCCTGCATGGTTTGTGAAGAGAAGTCAGCTGTAATTCTAATGGGTTTTCCTTTGAATGTGTTCTGCTTCTTTTCTCTAGAGGCTTTCAGTATATTATTCTTGTGCTGAATTTCTGGGATCTTGATGATTATATGTCTCGGTGTGTTTTTCATTGGATTGAGGTTACTTGGCGTTCTGAAAGCTTCAGTTACCTGAATATCAGATTGTTTCCTCATATTTGGGAAGTTTTCTGCTATTGCTTCTGCCCATATTTCTTTATTGTCATTTGTATTGACTCCTTCTTTCTCGTTGATGCCTATTATTCTCACATTGTTCATCTTTGCATCATCTTGCAGGTGATGGATTATTTTTTCCTGCATCCTAGTTGTTTTTAAGAGATACTTTTTTACCTTTTTACTAGCTGTACCAGCGTCTTCAAGATCTGAAACTCTGTTTTCACTTTCACTTAAGCGGGTTTGAAAACTTGTGATTGAGATTTTAATTTCTTCTATATCTGTTTGACTCTGCTTCATGTGATCTATTTCTTTCCTGTTTTGCTCATTCAAGGAATCCGTCATTTTTCTAATCTCCTCTATTTTTTTTTGATCAATGTCTTCTTTAGAAGCAGTTATAGATTCTTTTACTGCAGTGTTTTTTTCAGATTGGGTTTTCTCCCTATGTTTCTGTATTTGATTCTTCAGATGATATGAGTTCTGAGAATTCTTTTTTTATTTCAGAAAAGAATTGCACTCTGAGTTCCTCTATACTTTCTGGTGTTGCTTATTTACTATTGACACTATTAATACTTACATTTGAGTTGAGCTAGTAGAAAAGAATTCCGCTGTGAATTCCTCTATGACTTTCTGCTATTGCTTATTTACTGTTGACACTATTAATTCATACATTTGAGCTGAGCTAGTGTCCTCTGCACTTGTTCTTGGTGGGCATTGGGGTTCTTCCATATGTTTCTGCATTTGATTCTTTACTGCAGATGTGATTAATTCAGAGATTTTTCATTTCCAGTCTGAGTTCCTCTATACCTTTCTGCAGCTGTTTCTTTATTACAGAAGCCATTGATTCATTGCTTTCAGCTGTGTGATTCCCAATTTGTTCT